TGTTTGTAGATGAAGCAGGTTGTTTGCTTAAATCTGACACGATGGACACAGTGTGCCAATGATACACTGCCAATAAAACCAGTCGTGTTAACCCAAGGGAACAGTGATATGCGAGCAAATGTAGACTGTTTAGGGCAGAGGAAGAGAAAGAAAAACAAACAGCTTCTGAATGAAGGGAAAGTCTATCTGACAGGAAAGCATATTTAAAAGAAGCACACTCCCCTCCCCACAACATACCTCAATTCATTGTTGGGCCATGTCTAGACAAGGAACCCTAGAACAGAACACAGAGTAGTATAGTTTGCCATGGAGAGAGTATGGATGTGGGATGAGTCTGGAGGAAGAGGGAGGCATCTTTGAGCTCAGATGATTTACACAGAGGTTGGAAAGATTCCTTTTTTGCAACTCACAGAATCACCCACTCAGGACATCCATTGGCAATGCTGACTGAGGGATCCTGAGAGTGGAATAATTAAAAGAATTATTCCCAATCCCTATCTTTTTAAATGTTAATTTAATTTTTTAAACAAAAATACAATTATAACAACTTTTTCCTCTTGGTTCCAAATAACCTCCCATTTTCATTCCCTGTCTCTATTCATAATGCACAGTAAAAATATAGCTGTCAGATCTCTTATGATTGCATTTCTCAAATTATTGAGAATTATTTCATATTATTATAATGGTATTTATCAAGTTGTTAATCCAAAATTTCACTTGATCATTTGGTGGTTTAAATTTGCCATTGCTTTGACACATGGCTTCCATGTAATAACAAATAAGCATGCTTTTATTTCTCCTTTATAGGTTAATTTCTCTGACAGGGCTATAACTCATACCTTGCTTAACCAGTTTGTTATTGATAACATCATTTTTTCATAGGGTTTGATTATTTCTAGCCTCTCTATATGTAAGTGATATGAGATCCTTATTCCCATCTTCAATGTCCATCTGATATGTTGGAATGCCAAACTGCTAGAGAGGAATATAGATGATTATAGACTTTTTGATCACAAGGTTTGAAATTTTGCTATGGAATAATGGAACTGTAGTTTCACAAGGTCTTCTCTGCTAAAGACTGTTGCTGCCACGCCACCTGCAAATCCCAGGATTCCATACCATTGAGCCATGACAGTCAGAGTGGTATCAAACTCATTGATTCCACAGTGTAGATGCATCCTAAGTCACCATGTGCCTGTCATTATACCATAGGACTATGCGCTAAAAAAGGACACGGGTGTTATTTTATAAATGCTGTAATAGTAACTCCTCTGGGAATTTTGAGCCAGAGTTATTATTTCTTCCAATAATAATAATAATAATAATAATAATAATAATAATAATAATACACTTTATTTATATTCCGCCCTTCTCCCCTAGGGGACTCAGAGCAGATTACAGCATTTGATACATAGGCAAACATCCAATGCTTTTACAATTATATACAATGAGACAGACAAACACAAACAAAGGTAGAGGCTTCTCCTTTCATTTCCAGCTTCTGAGGCATTGCTCATCTTCAGCTCTAGGGAGGTGCTTTTCTTCTCCATTTTCAAGCCAAGGAGCCTCTACATTGTTACCTCCTGGTTGTGTTGCTGGCAAGATTGCTTGGAGCATCTCTTTGCCTTTTCCTGCTGAAGCGGTGTCAATTTATTTACTCATATTTGCATATTTTCGACCTGCTAGGTTGGCAAGAGCTGGAGCGTACAGACAGGTCACCCCATCTTGTGGATTCAAACTGTCAACTTTCAGATCAGCGGTTCAGCCAATTTTCAGGTCAGCAGTTCAGCAGCACAAGGGTTTAACCCATTGTACCACCAGGGCTCCAATACTGTAATACTTGCAGCTGCCTATTCCTTAGAAATCCCTTTAATCAAGGGTAGAAAATGTGAGGTCTGAGGACTGACTAGAGCTTCAAAAATCATTTTTGGATTGCACTTCCAGAATCTTCAACATAGCTAAATATGCAGATGTAGATCACTGCTTCTTAAACTGTGGGTTTGAAGCCCTGGTGTAGATAACCAGAGATGGGAGCAAAATGACAGCACTGCACTCCCAGCAAGAATCCTGCCCGTGTCATTTTCCTTCAGCCCCTACATTTCTAGCATTGCAGTAACTTAAAGCCCCAGTTTAAAATTTAGCGATACAGTTAAAGCATTCAAAGCAAAACAACAAATCAAGTTTACCAAGGATATACAAATAGTCTTTTGGGCTATATGAGCAAGTGGACCAGGAGCTGCATATTTGAAAAAGAGGAGAAAAGTGCAGCCTTGTAATAATATGCTTAAGTGCAAAGTAGTGCTATTCAAAGTGGTAGATCCTGGACTGGTGTTGGATGCTGAGCCATTGCTTGCTGGTATCTGGAAGATTCCAGGAAAAAAAATCAATTGTACCAAATGGGCACACAAGTGCTGGTTCCTGGCACATGGCAGGGAGGTAATAATTAATCAACGGTCCCCTACATAAGATCAGTATTGCCATGGTGCAGTGGTGTCAAACCCATAGTCCAGGCCCGTAGCCAGGATTTCGTTTCCGGGGGGGGGGGGGGGCTGAATTTTTTTCAGGGGGGTTTCGGGGGGGCTGAGTTTCGGGGGGGGGGGGCTGAGTCTGAGTGAAAGAGGGTCTACCCTAGCAAACCTTTTGTATCATTACCCCAATACCCCCATGCATATGGGATATATTGAGTATGGTGATCATATCATGATATGAATAAACATAACAGTTTAAATAATGCACCAGTAAGGCCTTTTCGCGAGCCCCCCCCCCCCCCCCCGGCTACATGCCTGCCATAGTTTTCCAGGATTTTTGGACTTCAGATCCCAGAATTCTTAACTCCTAGACAGGCTGGTTAGGGCTTCTAGGAGTTGGAGTCAAAAACATCTGGGGGCCCCACAAGTTTGACACTTCTGGCATGGAGTGCCTTTCCTTAGAGTCCAAGCCAATCTGTTCCTGGAGTTTGGGTTTTTTGGGGGGAAAAGTATTATTTTGATTCAATTGGGTTGGGGGGGGGGTGTCCTTCTCCAGTTCTTGTCTACTGAGTGTATCCTATTCTATGGGGCTGATTTTGGTGTATGCATATAGGAATATCAAGCCTACCTAAACTTTGAGAATTTCATGCTTGAGTTCTATGGACATTTTTTTTGTCTCAGAGGTCATTTAAAAATAGTTTCTCAGTATGAAGCAGGAAATGACAATGGAGCATTTCTCACCACCCCTTTAATGTCAATGTACTTCTTTCTCCAAGAGATTCCATTTCATTTCCTTCTTTGCTGGCTTTCATTGCTTTTCTTCTTTTCAATATTCAGTGTGCCTTGCAGTATACCGTTAGAGCAGTTTGATACAATCATGATCCTTTTTATGATTTGTAATTTGGAGATATACTTAAAATTCTCTACTAGCGAACTTCAATGATGTAATTCACAGGAGTAGGTTAACTCTCTGTGTATTCTTCTATTTATGTTATGAAAACAACAATCATCTTACAGTTACAAACCACTTTTGTGCCAATAGGCTCTAAAATATGTACATGGTTGTTTTACAGTGGCACCAAAGGCAGTATATCTACTGTTTCTCTTATAGGGAAAACAGCCTCTCTGGAAATTTACAAGTCCTCTAGGTCACTGCTTCCCAAATGGGTCCCCCTCTCAATGTTGGGATCACACAAAATTTGGCAACAGTAAAAGGTTTCTGAATGTCACCCATTTACACAAAGCCGTTTGCAACAATGCAGCGGTTACAGTGAACTCTGCAGAAAATGCTTCAGCTGTACCCCAAAAACAGGCAAACCAGCCTGTTTAGCAAACCTTGCAAATGCTGGTTTATTATCAGTAAATGTTTGATTTGTACACCTATTTTATCCAATTATAGACCTGGAGTCACATAAAAAGTTCTTGGGCAGAAAAGGTTTAAGGACGTTTCCACACATCCTTATATCCCAGAAAATCAAGGCAGAAAATTCCACAATATCTGCTTTGAAGTGGAATATATGGCAGTTCAAAGTAGATATTGTGGGATTTTATGCCTTGATATTCTGGGATATAGGGCTGTGTGGAAGGGCCCCAAGAAGCTCTGTTCCATTATATACTTCTCCCAGATGTTACCATAGAATTACACTGGAGCACCTTGCAAATTGCTAGAGGACAGCTTTCTAGAAATTTCTAGGTCCTCCATCTCAGTTCTAATGTATGCTGACACTGGAATCCAGATGATTTAAAGGCATTTGGTGGTATTTGCAGGTTCAAGTAATCACAGTCTAGCTAGGAATGTATCCTCTAAGGATATGGGGATCTTGCTGTACTTTCTTTAATCAATATACAGAGTTGGATGGTCTGGGTTACAGAAAAATTTAGTCAATTTAAAGATCATTTGGACAAAATGTACAATTCCTGCCTCCTTGCACAGTGGTCTTGATTTCAATCACCTCATGAAAATGAAAAGGACAGAAGGAGCAGTTATATGCTACATCATTGATGTATCATGTTGATCATTTCTAGTCTATTCTTTACCAAAGTGATGACGACAATGATGACTGTAATGTTACATTTATATTCCACCTATTTTATCCTCTCAACAATTGTTTGAGGTGATGCATACTAAGAGAGCAAACCTGGTCCAAGATCAGTCATTGAGTTTCATGGCCTGATCTAGGAAATCTTAAGTCCCAGTCCAGCTATCTGAGCATTACAGCACGCTGCCTATGTACCTATGGCTAATCATAGATTATGGACTACGAGTTTCATTAGACACTTGGTTATACTTCTTTGACAAACTTTTTCCCATATAGATTCTCCAATCTATCCATTATTTTGCCCCTGTCTCTGATCAGTGAACCTTCTTTTAAAAAGCAAAGTAGATTCCAAAACCTTGTGTTCTGCTCTATTCAGTCACACATTACCTGTTCTGCATAACATTTGCTGAAACAGGAGAGGCAGAACAACTGTTATTGTGTAGAATATCCAAGGGCCTTTTCACATTACACAATTATAGTATTATGATTCCAATTTAACTGTTATAATAACTTTATTTATAGACTGTCCTCTCTTCCCAAGGGGACTCAGGTCGGTTTACATACAAAGAAGGCAAACATTCAGTGTCTGAACTCAAATACAAATATTTTAAAACAAACAGAATAATACAAAAATAATAACCATAAACTTGTGACAAAAGAGAAATTAACACCAAAATGAGGACCAAATACAAATAATTGAATAAATTTAACTATACTAATAACATCAATTAACCATTTAAACATAAAACCTAGGAAAGGCAATTAAAATACATTAAAATGACTATCAGGGTTGTTCTTCTCATGTTCTTCTCATAGTAGGGAACTATGAGATTTGAAGTTAGATCCTAGGATGCCAAATCAGATAAAAGGGAATCACAGTGCCATACCTTCAATACTCTTGAGGAATAACTGGTAAGTATCAAAGAACTCTAGAGACATAGCTAACCATTGGAGTGGGATTGCTTTTGGGCCTCCAGCTAAGAGAATTCTCCTTCTGCTACCTACTGCACCATTGTCCAGGCCTTGATAGATGAGATGGTGGCACTAGCAACCACTCTTATGACTTTTTGGGTGACAGCTTCCGAAATCACACAAAATCACCATACAGGATTTTGACTTCTGAGAGATGTCATCCATAAAAGTAACTATCTCAGGATGCAGTTTTCAGCTGATGAAAAGCCACAATTTTATGCCTGAGTTCATTTTATTTATCCCATCTCCAGCTGTACAGAGGCAAATAAATCCCTGCCGCTTTTGTAGATTAATGACTTTCAGAACTTCCTGTGGAATGTGCTCCATGGATATCTCAAAAGGCACTTCCCTTCACATTTTTGCAGAAAAACTGTTGCTTCCAGAGCTTCCTCGAATGTGACTTGCTGCTTGGTGATGTTTGTCCTTGAAGTCTGTTGTTATGTCTGCACAAACAGAGGATGGGGTGGGGGATTGCTAAATCAGTAGGTGTCCTTATAGACACTTTCCCCTAGAAGAAAGAAACTTCATTCAAAAATGCAAACAAACAGGATTTAATTACAGCAGGGATGGGGAACCTGTGGCTTTACTTTTGAACTCTGTTTCCCATTAGGGCCAGTCAGCCTGGACAATGGTGGGGGATGTTGGGAGTAAGAGTGCATCAACAGCAGAGAGGCTACAGTTCTCAATCCCTGCTTTTCGTCTGTGGTTCAAAAGACTCAAAACCTTCATGGAAAGACAGTCCATACAGAAATAGGAAATCATGCAGTTTTACCAACAAAAAGTCATTTTTCCTACTGTCTTGTAACAAAACATGGCTTAAAATTAAATGTTCCCCTCTTCAACTTGTTAATGCAGAATGCTTGGGCATGTAACTGCAGATGCAGCTGAAGATTTAGTAAACATACAGGTGCTGTCCAGATGTTTAGAGCTAAAACTTCTCTCAGCTCCACCTGTGATTGCTAATAGTTGGAGATGATGTGAGTTGTCATTCAAACTATTTGGAAGGTGCCAAGCTGAAGAAGGCTGATGTAAGAAACTGTGGTGGTAAGACATCTGAAGGAGGACCAAATGAAAGGTGTGTGTGTGTTTGGGGGGGGGGTCTCAGTTCAATCTGCAATATATTAACATGTGATGTTGGACTAGCAATCTCATCATCCCAAGCCAGGACAACAAATATTGTTAGATTCTGAAATTTGTACTTCCACAGCAGCTGGGGGTACAAAACTGGGAAGTGACAGATTCAAGATTCACAAGATACGGTTACCATCAGTATAGATGACAAACCTGGGTTAGTCATCCAGAGTGCAGCCAATGGGTGGCTAGCGATGTTATCACACAGAGTTCCTACAATGGGTGCTGTCATCACAAACCTGTCTTGCTTGAGACTGGAGTATGCCTGCCTAGCTTCTCTTCTTATTGCACCAGGCTTTATTGGAAGCACTGAGAAAGCTCCAAGTGGATTTATCTTACTGCAACTGCAGGGATATAACTCCTTCCAATCCATGCATTCCCTCCTTTTTGAACCCAGAATCCTGCTTCCCACAACTGTCAACTAATTGAAACCAGGAAATAGTGGTGCCTGGTGGCTTTCATATTAATGGGGTAATGAATCATTTTTTTTTATTTTAGTCTGCGTTTTAAAGAATGTATTTACGGTGTTATACCTTCACTCCAACACGAGTTCAACACCATGGAAAACTTTAAAAGATATGTTTATTATACATGCTAAAAGGACATGTTTACAATATATAAAAGACACATATGGGGCAATACAAACAAATATACTATATGAGAAAGCTACCAAAACTACCATAATAGAACAAACTAGGCTGGCCAGTAAACAAAACAATATAAGCTTATTCCTACTATCAGAGGCAGCCCTAGGTAATTTTCAATGGTAAGCAAACAGTATTTTTGCCCCCCCCCCCCCCCAACCAATCACTGATATATATTTTCTGTTCGTCGTGGGAGTTCTGTGTGCCATATTTGGTTCAATTCCATCATTGGTGGAGTTCAGAATGGTCTTTGATTATAGGTGAACTATACATCCCAGTAACTACAACTCGCATATGTCAAGGTCAATTTTCCCCCAAAAGCGCCTCGAGAGCACCCCTGGGCAAAATCAACTATACTGCAAATGCATACTTTGCGTAATGGGTTGAGCCGCCCCTGCCTACTATCTACTAATTTTCAAAAGCAATTACTGATGACCTACTCCAATTATCTCTTAAATACATAACAAATGGTTGCCAATCTTATTTTGAAATATTGATGCTACTGTCTTTTCTTGAATCAGAATTGTCAGTTGATCTGTCTTAGCCATGTTACACAACTTAAACTTCAGTGTTCTGTTGGCAGAATTGCTGCATCTTTCCACTTTTGAGCCGAAAATACTGCCAGCTGTAATCAAATATTGCCAAATTCTTCCATTTTTTATTATCTTGATCATCCAACAGGTAAAATTCCAGTTTCATTTGAATCCTCAAATTCAAAATTCTCTCCACTATACAGGTTGTCTCATTCCAAAGCTTCTTTACTCTTATCACACATCCACCATATATGAAAAAGTACCCAAAAAGTGAGTTTCTTGGGGAACTTTAAAACTCAAACTAAAACCTGGAGCAGATTGATTGCCTTATTTATATGGGAATCCCTAACTACCACTGTCAAGAACATGCAGAGAAGAAAGATCTCCCTCAATCATGGTATTGAGGATCTTAACTGCCACTGAATGCTAAACTTCCATGGAGCCAGCATGGTATCAGCCACTGATAGAAAACATCTTTTTATTTTCATATTTTATATTTCTCATTTCATTCATTCAAGCAGAACCGAGTAAAGTAGCTTTTTGGATTATAACTTCCAGCAACTCCCAGCCAACTTGGCCAAGTAATATTTCCAAGTTCTCCCTTGAAAACACATGGACAATGTGCACACATAAAAGAAAGGCGAAAAGAAATCCATAACATGTGAGTTCTCCTAACTGGCTGTGACCAAAGTGTACCGTTTTCAAAATTGTCCCTTGGTTCATTCATATCAAAGGGGAAAAGCAGCTGAGCAGGAGGAAAGTCTCCCCATTTATATCAACATTGGACTTTATTTTACAAAGGAAGCCGAGAAGCTATTCACATCCTGTCCCACCAAGAGGCCCGGGCAATGCCCTTCTCACTTCATCCTCACCACTAGTCCTTCCTGCATGAATTATCTCTGCTTTCCTGTTGGCAGGAACTGAATTCCAACTGGTACAAAGGCTCAGGACAGGATATAAACAGGAAACGTCATCCAGATGACGCCATGGGCCTCAGAGCTCTGGGTGAGGAGGTTCCTGTACTTTGCAGTGGAGTGCATTTCATATAAGGTGAACCCCTAGATGTCAAAATGAATGCCAGGAAGCAGGAGGTGCTGAATGAATAAGCATGCTGTAGCCAGTGAGGCTAATGAACCCCCCCCCCTTTTGAAGTAGAGCCTAGGATACAACTCCCAGAGCCCCCATCCAACATGGCCAATGTAGTTTAAAAGTGTGGGGGGGGGGAGCAGGGGGGCATACCACATTCTGCTGATAATATGTGATACTCTTTTGTTTCATCACTTTCAAACCCCCTACATTTCACAGATGGAAATCAGGTCACCTTTGACTAAAGATCTGAGTTTGGCTAAACATAATAAGTTATTAATAAGGAATAACACCCAACCTGGGGAGGTTGCAGCATTTGCTTTTACCTTGATCTACAGGGAAGGGCAAAATTTCATTTCCCCCTCCTCTTCCTGTTGCTGTGTTAGTTGTGTGCAACCTTTTGCACTTTGAACTCGGTTTGCAGCAAGTGAAGTAAGTTGCGGACAGAAAAGGAAGGGAGAGAGAGAAACTGCAGAATTGTCTACACTGCCCAGTTCAAGATCAGTCTGGAGCAGAAATACACATTCCATTCCCAACCTGGGATAGGACAGAGTTTACACAGTCCAGCATGCAGAAACCAATTCAGCCCAATTGGACTGTTGTCTTACTTTCCCTATCACTGGGAAAGGCTGCAGGGCTCTCGGAAATCTCCCAGCCATCCAAAGCACCCTGTGCTGACATCAACAGAGATGCCTATGTCAGGAAGGAAAGGAATCCCTCAACTTTCCTTATACGGAGCTAAACCAGTTCAACCCAGTTTAGCCTGAGTTAAAAGTCTGGGAGTCTCTGGATGTTGTGAAGACAGCCAAGAGTGAGTTCTGGGCCACTTTGGGGTTTATGGCCAGTGAAATCAAGCCCTGGGACATTTTAAAACAGGTGAAAAATTGAGATGACACAAGTTTAATTGGGATGTCACTGCCACATTTGGACAATTGGAGATATCATCTCTGTTGTTGATACCTCAAGGGCTTCTTAAACCTTTTCTATTTGTTACCCTTTTCCATGTGAAAAATATTTAAATAACCCCAGGTATATAGGTTTTGTGGGGGTGTCATATTTTCAGACATTTGGGGACATCTGTGTGGTTTTGGTGAGGGAAGTTTCCTGAAAATTGCACCATTTTTAACTGGGACAGTGGTCAGTCCAATGGAGGAGCATTACTTCAATGCTGGTGGTTTTTGCTTCTTCCAGCATGCTGACATTTGTCCACTTGTCTTCCCAAGAGATTTTGCAGGATTTTTCGGATGCAACACTGATGGAATTGTTCCAGGAGTTGAGTATGACGACTGTAGACAGTCCACGTTTCACAGGCGTATAGCAAGGTTGGGAGGACAATAGCTTTATAAACAAGCAACTTGATCTCCTTATGGATGTCCCGATACTCAAACACTCTCTGCTTCATTTGGAAAAATGCTGCACTCACAGAGCTCAGGCGGTGTTGTATGTCAATGTCAATATTGATTTTTGTGGAGAGGTGGCTGCCAAGGTAGAGGAAATGGTCAACATTTTCTAATGTTAAACCACTAAGCTGTGTGTTCAGGGTGGAAACAAGAGACATGTAAGTATGCATAGCAGTCACTGGATTTATTAAACAGTGTGGTGCTTAGATGTCTTTTGTGCAAGTTATATGGTGGGCTCCAGAAAGTAAACTTGTTCTGTTGATAATTCCAGCCTTATATTGATGTAGACTCGAAGGTGTTATCACTCTGGTGGAATGTCTCAGGTGAGTCCTCTCCATGTGTAGATATCATCAGTATATCTCAGATAGAGGAGATGTTTCTGAGTGCAACTGTTATGTGAACATTGTTTCATGCTAGCCAATGAGGTTGGCTTATTAAAATGCCATATATATTACAAACATCCAACTTACAAATGACTCATAGTTAAGAAGGGGGTGAGACAACAAGAAGTGAGAGAAATCTGGCCCTCATAAGAGGGATTTGCTCCTGAAAGAGTTATCATGGGAAAAAGGGGTCTCCATTGAAACTTTTTCTCCAATCCTTGTTTCCACAAAAAGTCAGTTTTTCAAAATCTAATTTTCACAGGGATAGAAAGTGAGATGAAATTATCTGGACAGGGGCACAGACAGCAAAACAAGCACCACAGGGGTGTTA